ACGTTCCTTGATCAATCGCTGGTTCTATTATATTTGACGTGCTACTGCATTGCATGTGCATCGATACGTTACAATCGCCATTCTCCAACTGCCTCAAAGTGTGGCAACTCAACGAAACCGGATAAGTAATGAACTGTGCGGATTGCCGGGTGAGTTGCATTTTTGCGGATGAGTTTTACAGGATTTGTACTGGTTTTTGAGTAAATTAGTAAAATTCACCACCATAAAACTCATCCGCCTTCTCTGCAGAAAATCACCAAGAGGATGCGCGCTTGCGTGATTACCTTGGACTGCGTGCGTTTATCAGCTGAAATTTAATTAGATTTTTGTTTCCACTCGTGATTTTAAAAAGTTAAAAAGTTTTCCTATCCATCGGACATCTAAATCCAATCAGTTCAACAGCGTATTTTTGTGCGCTAGTTAATATTGAATGTGTTTGATGAGTTATGACAAGTAGTAATTTTAAGTGATAATTCGATGAATTTGATTGGTTCCATGAGTATTTGTGCAAGTCGGCGATTCAGTTTACCTTTTTCTGATGATGTTTTCGAAAATTCTCACTGAGTTCGTACGATTAGTGAAGCATTTCATTGGTATTCTTGTGTTCTTGTATCACTCTAGTGTCATCGTTGCTTATTGCAGTTGTAGAATGACTCATATTGCTATCGTTTTGTCATAACTATTGTCATTAATGTCATCGTGAAATAAGATTGTNCTTAAAATTTAACTGATTTGCAGTGAAACATCGATCTCAGAAATTTGTGATGTTATAATAAAATTTCCAAAAATGGATATCAAAAACGAAGAAAACGCCGATGTGAAGCCAGATGCAATTGTCGTGGTGAAACAAGAAGAACAGCATCCAGTTGATATTACTGTAAAAGAAGAGAAGGAATGTATCGAGAAATGTAACGGTGAAACTTCGGATGATGTGAAACCTGATGAAAATGGCCGAATGGAGTGCGAAATTGACATGAAAGAAAGTGATGACTACGATGAGTTGAATGAATTAATATCAGATGAGGTGCATCTTTATTCTTATTATTCATTAGCACTTTACATATGTGATTTGTATTCTTTGCATTCATGGACAGAATTTATTCGAAAACGAAACCGAGATAATCACCATTGATATTTTTAAATTTTCAGGTTAAAAACGGCCAAGATTCAGCGAATGCTGATAAAAAGTTGGAGACACTGCAAATCGCCATCAAACAGCTCTACAATGATCCATCGTTTGCAGTTGTTTGTAGTTTCTTCAATAAATTCGCATGCTTTCTTGGCATTAAACCGCAAAATTTCAACAAATTGGAACGTTTATTGACGAGTTTCCATGAAACTGGACGAGGTTAAATTTCATTTCATCATATTACATCCATTTCTTTTCATCGTGTTGATGAATTCTTTTCATCTCTATTAATTTTAATCTTCACCATATTATTTGCGACTCTATGATTCACGTATCTGATAATGGAATTGTATTGTATTTCACACGACCTGTCCAATTCATCAAATTTTTCATTGAAACGAAAATTTTGTAAGCTTTCGTAAGTTGTGAAATTACAATTCATATTGAAAATATTCGATATTCATAAGATCGAATTGAATTTGTTGGTCACTAGTATCTTTCAATACTGTTAACATGATATCACGTTTGGTAGTAGCAAAAAGTTAGACTTTAATTGACGAGAGTCAGACTGATGTGGATAACTTGTGTATCATTAAACGATGTTAATATTTAGTTGATCGTGAACTGATCGATCTTCATTTGACATTGCTGCGAAAACTGAACTATAAATCGGCCAGAGTGAATGGTTGGGAAAGGTATCTGTTGAAGTATTGTTCGTTGAATCAGTCGTTGGAGAGTGAGTACTTGAATATCGAACGCTACGGCTACTTGCACTCATCGATCAACACCAAATTAGCGGTGCTGAAAACGTTGTGCGAAAATCAATTCGATTATAATATAAAGTTTAAAGATTCGGTGAGTGT